GTTTGTAGGAAAACTAATCTGACTTATCTCATATCTTTCTAGTTGGTTTGTAAATTGTCATTTATGAAGTTTACTCTCTTTGATTTTGTTCTCAGCAAACATTTAACTGAGCTTGGAAAATTTTGTACACATGTTGTATGTTCATTTAGGACTCTGCATAATTATAATATTATTTTCTTTTACATGAGAGTTAATTTGGTCTTTTGGATTTTGAGTGACACTTCCACAGTAATACATTGATCTACAGTTTGGCATTTCCTACAGTGTAACAAAAGTTGAGTGATTCTGTATCAGAACTACTCAGTTGTTTTTTGTTTCACAGCTGCCATATTCTTCATATAGATCACTTTTAAACAGCAATAGAATATGAATGACATCAGAGATAACACAAACAATTAAACTTTTTTATAGAGAATAACATGCTACTGTCTTTTGATATCAATTTTATCAGGCGAGGCTGATATGGGCTAGAAAGGGCGAGGCTTGCCGAAATAATTCTTGAAAACAAATTCCTCCGCCCCTCAAACTTTGAATTTGTAAATGGCTGCCATTCTTTCTTTCGACTCGAGATTATTTCCTGTGATAAAAGATACAACAGAATGAAACACAATAAAATTCTTACCTTTAAACATCGATCGAAAAAAATCCCTAAGAATCACATAAACTTTACTGCACGTTTGTCTTGAATTGTCAATTTCAAAAGTTCACAATAATTTCAATCAAACAAAAGTCAAATCGGCAATCAAACACAAGCTACACAAACATGCGTCTTATTTTTTAAACAAAACAATTTGTTCACTTGTTAAATAATAATCCGGCGAAATAAAGTAAAACTTTTTACAAGTTCTCAAAGAAAATCGTCTAGCCTGTTTGTTATGATTTACATGTATAGTATGACGTGAACATCTATGATGTCATTTGCAATATAAACTATGACGTCACTTCATCTAGTTGATGCGCTATCTAATTTATTCGTAATTGAAATCGAAATGATAAATAAATAAATATCGCATCTTGATTCAAGACTTGTATTATAAAGGGTATTAAAATACATTGTAGAATTCACATGCTGGTAATATGAGAATATAAGCAATTGAAAAAAGTCCGTGAAAATGGGCGGGGCTTAGTTTTGATATCAGGTTACTGACCTGATATCAAAAATAATTATCAGGCAAGTGTTATCAGGCAGTTACCATAGCAGTTGCATGATAAATATAAAACATCTGTCTGACCAGGATTTTAATTAATGGAACCAATTGCTGTAGATCCAATGGCCTCATTACTGTGCTACTTATAAAGGCTTCCAAAAGTATATATTTTTATGTAAATCCAGTTTATAATTAAGAAATAATGAAAAAGGTTAAACGATAAGTATAATGAATTATTTTTATTTCCCTGTTTATAGAATTAGAATTTACTGACTAATTGGTAAAATTTCAGGTATAAAGAGTATATTGTAATCAAGAACACTAGAGATGCTGTCAACAAACTGGTAGAGGAGAAAATTACTGACTGCCTTAACTGGCAACAGATGCATAAGGTAAAATATTCTGTAATTAGAAATGGTAAAACTTAGGTAGACATAATTAGATCAAAGCTTTACAACATTTTTCGGCAAAATGTCAAACATTTTACCATTTGTATTTACTGTACTATTCTACAAATATTAAAAGCAGTTTCATATTAATCATATATCTTTTTTATGCCCCCGGGCATATAGTAATTGAACCGTTCGTTCGTCTGTCCGTACGAGGTAAACCTAGAACGGCAAGTTGGATTTTTCTAAAGTTCTACCTGTACCAATGGCTTCTAAGTTTACACACTTACTAATCAATACAAAGTACACGATCTGGGCAAGTTACATAACTCTGGCTTTCATATTTACCAAGTTATTGCCCTTTTCAGCACTTAGAAAATGAATAATGGTTAACCTAAAACGTCAAGTTGGAAATATCTTAAGTTTTATCTATACTAATGGCTTTATAATTTCCACATTTACTTATCAATACAAAGTACATGATATTGCCAAGTTATATAACTGTGCCATCCATATTTCCCAGTTATTTCCCTTTTTCCACTTTGAAAATAGGGCCTTGTCTGGTTAACCTATTTCGGCAAGTTGGATTTATCTTAAATTTCTCCTAAATGATTAATTTCTTTAATGATATCTTTTATATTTAGTAGGTGGATACCTTTCATGGTCCTCTAATTTTTTGTGGAGTAAGCGGTCTCTAGGGTCAAGGTCAAGGTCACTGGTTTAGAAAATAGATATAAACATTTTTTATTTGATGTCTTAGTTTAATACAAACATGCCAAGGGAGGTCCTCCTTCTTTGGGTGTAGTAAGGGGTCATTTGGGTCAAGGCCAATGTTACCAATGTCAAGGTCACCAATGTGAAAAATAGATTTTTACATTTTTACAGGTGTATTGACCTTATTCTATAGACAGATGTTATTTATAATTGATAGAAACATAAACTTTGATGGAGTTAGTGGTCAGTTGGGTCAAGGTCACCAGTGCTAAAAATAGATTTTTACACATTTGCTCATACAGCCTTTATTAAGTGACAGATATATTTTATATTTGGTAGGAAGATAACTTGCATGGTATTCATCCTTTTGATTGGGGTGGGGATCAGTGGGTCAAGGTCACTTGTGCTAAAAATAGATTTTTACACTTTTGCCCATACAGCTTTTATTTATTGACAGGATGTATTTCATATTTGGTAGGAAGATAACTTGCATGGTATTCTTCCTTTGGATGGAGTAAGGGGTCAGTTGGGTCAAGGTCACCAGTGCTAAAAATAGATTTTTACACTTTTGCCATACAGCCTTTATTTAATGACAGATGTATTTCATATTTGGTAGGAAGATAACTTACATGGTATTCTTCTTTTGGATAGAGTTAGGGGTCAGTTTAGTCAAGGTCACCAGTGCTCAAAATAGATTTTTACACTTTTGCCCCATACAGCCTTTATTTAATGACAGATGTATTTCATATTTGGTAGGAAGAGAACTTGCATGAAGTTGAATATTTTTCAACTTCACAAGTCAGAGCAATGACTTGGCAACTTATATTTTTCACAATTACAAAATGCCATGACTTTGTCAAGCTATACAACTTGTGTTTACAATTTTTTGGCAATTTTTCTGTCCATAACTGAGTGAATGGGTAAACATTTTTTGAAATATTGCTACTGACAAGAATCTGAACCGGGGGCATTTGTGTTTAACAAACACGTTCTTGTTTTAAAGAATGTATTGAAAGGTACTTACATAACTGAAACATTTTCCTTATTAACCCAGCATGTGATGATGAAGATCCAGGGATCAGCCTTCCAGAAGATGTGTGCTGACATAGCCTCTTCTCTAAACCTGGGTACACCAAGTTTTGCTACAGCTAAAGAGTTCTTGCAGGGGGCAGGACAAGGCTCTATCATACAACAGGTATATCCTCTAAAACTGTTCATACATTGTTTATATGGGATATATTCAGATTATTGCATTCTGTCATGCAGGATGTTTCTTTGATGTGAATCAATTTTTTAGATGGCTTTATGAATAATGATGACAATGTGTACTTTAATGAAATAACTGTTATTAAGTTACATATATCAACAAACATTTGACTTTTTAAAGGAAGAAATTTATATAAGGTTTAAATTTCTGCAGAGATACATTTAAACACAGAGATAAGCGAATAGGTTTTTCTTTGACACAGAGATTAGTGAATAGGTTGTTCTTTATCTCGTGTCTGAGAAAGAAACAGTATTTTATAACTATGATGTGTAACTTAGTTATTGATATATGACATAGATTTAAATTTCATTAAATGTGTGTTAGTTTAATAGGTATGTTTTATTTAATGTTTGACATTTATATTTTCAGTGTGAACAAGTAGAGAATGAATTAACATCCAACCTTCAGATTCAGAGAGCCAATCTTCACCGAGTGATAGATGTCCTACATACATATGGAACTATTGTGTCACAGGTAACTTGTGCTGCCTCCTTGTACTTTTATAGCTATAACTCTAGACCTATATACTGCCAGTATGAAAACCAGGGCAGTCTGTTATTCTATGTACTGGCTACTCAGATTTAGTATTTTGATTCTATAAATCCATCAAACTTAAAAGTAGGACATATATGTAATACAAATTTATAATGCTTCAGGTTTAACATCAGTTTATAATGTTTCTACAAGGATTATTTATTTAACTGCAAAGAATTTTGTTGATGTTTAATTGTGTTAACGCAGCATGCCTCCAGATGAGCCAAAAAATTTCAAATAAAATCAAACTTAATGAAAAATGTACTAAGATTTTAGGAAAAAGTAGAAAGATTCAAGATTCAAAGAAAAATTTGCAGTGACTAATTGCTAATTTTTAACTTTATTTTCTACTGTATTACTAACCGCAAAAATAAGGGCAAATTTTTGCAATTTGACCCTCTTTTTGTAATTTTCGTGGGTTGTAAGTGCCATAAATAATGTGTCAGTTGCTTCCTTTTGGTTACTATATACATTTAGAAAATTTTCATGAAAATAAGCATTAAACTGGAGGCATGCTGCTTTAAGAAGATAAGAATGAAGAGACAATTCTTAGGTATATCATTTACCATTTAACCATTTCATTGTGTTATAAAAACATTGGTTTTAAAAGCAATGATTTTTTTTTATGAGAACTGATGGAAACACATGGTCAATATGGATGGTTCCAATTTTCATTTAGCTAGCATCATACAATAGAACTTAGAACTGTCATTGTATCAGACGCATTTACTAATCAAACTGTTATGATTTTTATATTACAGTTTGGAGCTAGTTTCGCAGATAAACACAAGAACAAGCAACTATCTGCATTGGCTGAAGGAACTCTCCTTGGATTTTACTGACAATAAGTGAGTCATCATTCTGTTAAAAATTATTGATCCTTGAGGTACTAGTGCCTGTAATGACATTAGTTTACAGCTTAGGCCAGACCACACATCCATGCAGTTTGAGCTGACTATACTGTTGACTGCTCAATTTAGTATTTTAATTCCAACATCCCCCAACCTGCTGAATTTCTAAAATGGACTTGACTAGCTTCAATTCTTTATTTAGAACTATATTATACTGTTTAGGTATATCAAGATGATAATTTGAATTTAGTTAGCCAACAGTGTACGAACCTGGTCAAACTGCACAGGTGGTGCCAGGCTGGTCCTAGATCTATTCTGCTGGTAAAGAACATCACTTTGGCTCAGCAGGTGAAAGTGTTGAAGTAACAATGGACTATTCATATTTAAAAGCGGAACAAAGATAATTTTTCAGTTTAGCACTGTGAGGGTTAATAGCAAAAATAACCTAATGTCAGGCCTGATATAGAATACTAAAGGGCCTACGTGGCCTTATAGGTTATGATCTACACAGTAGCTTGTCCTCTGTTGATAGTCTGAACCCTGCCAGGATGTGTCTACACAATGTTTAATCTTTTCACATATTATAATTATTTGTATATATATATGGCAGTGTAAGGATTGATATTATAAATTTATAATCATAATAAAAAAAAAGGGATCATTGTTCAGTGTTTTATATTTATGATATAGGTGTGTAGAGATTGTTCATCATTTCCATGACATGTATGGTGACTCTGTTGTCTCTCAGACTAAAATACAGCTGGTACTGGCACAGAGCTGAAGCTACAGACTATAATACAAGATGCCCAATGCCAGGCTTATCAAGGTATATTCTTGATAACGTATCTTGTCTCCTTTCAGCTAAAATGTACACATTTTTACAAGCCTGTACATTACAGAAGTTGGTAATATGTTGAGAGAAATATTCAGTTGACTGGTACATATAAATTAGGCTAAAATATGTTAATGATATTCAGTCTAAAGTTAATGATACAACAATGTTCTCAAAATGTTAATAGTGTGGTCTTGTTTACTTTGACATCAATGAGATAAACATAACAGTCATATCTCAAGAGACATTTTGTGTTCAGACTGTTTCTTTTATTTAGCTTTAGCTTGTATATTGTTGTGTGATGAAAATGTTAAGCTTATTTTAACCTCTCTGGAATCACGCAGCTGGTGAAGGAGCTTAGTTAGGCCCAAGCAAATGATACTTAAGTTAAGCTGCAGAAAAACCTTAACTACTAGGACAAAGCTTCTGTTATATCTTATTTAATTTATGTTATAGCTGTTGGATCGTAGAAAGATGGAGAAGGTAGAAGTGAGACTGTTAGAGTTACAAGTACAGGAAAGTAAAGCTGCCATTGATGTTTTTGTTAAAGGTAATCCATGTTTATACAATGGTAGATTGTATGTTATCTCAAATAAGGTACAGTGTGCCTTTGCTGAGTGGCCTTTCTTGCTCACTGCTAGAAAATTAACTCTATTTACATTTGTATTGATCTATTTTATGTGTTATTTAAAATACAAATTGTTGTTCAATATTGTTGTTGAAATTTCTGTTACAGAATTTTGGAGTTTTTATGCCCCCACAAAGTGGGAGCATATAGCGTTGCACTTGTCCATCCGTACGTCCGTCTGTATGTCCCGAAATCTTGTGAACGCAACTCCTCTTAAACCGGATGACAGATTTTGCTTAAACTTACAGGGATGAACAACCTTAATGTGTAGATGGTAGGAAAGGAAGGAAATTTCGCTGCGACCAAATTTAACAGAATTATGGCCCTTTGTTGATTTTTTCACTATATACTGTGTAGAAATTTTGTGAACGCAACTCCTCTTAAACCAGATGGCAGATTTTGCTTAAACTTCCAGGGATGAACAACCTTAATGTGTAGATGGTAGTAAAGGAAGGAATTTTCGCTGCGACCAAATTAAACAGAATTATGGCCCTTTGTTGATTTTTCACTATATACTATGTAGAAATTTTGTGAACTCAACTCGTCTTAAACCGGATGGCAGATTTTGCTTAAACTTCCAGGGATGAACAACCTTAATGTGTAGATGGTAGTTAAGGAAGGAATTTTTGCTGCGACCAAATTTAAAAGAATTATGGCCCTTTGTTGATTTTTTCACTATATATTATGTAGAAATTTTGTGAACGCAACTCCTCTTAAACCGGATGGCAGATTTTGCTTAAACTTCCAGGGATGAACAACCTTAATGTGTAGATGGTAGTAAAGGAAGGAATTTTTGCTGAGACCAAATTTAACAGAATTATGACCCTTTGTTGATTTTTAGCACATGTGGTCCAAAAAATATTTGACCTAGAGTCATAAGATTGACAGAACAGTGGCGTGTGGGGGCATCCGTGTCCTATGGACACATTTCTAGTTTTTTTAAAGGATTATCACTGTAGCTAGATCTTGGAAAGTTAAATTTGTAAGAATTTCTCCTCAAATGATAAATAAACTGACTTTGTTTAGTGCAGTTTCCACATATAAAAACTGTTTTTCTGAATTTTTTTGTTACATGTATATTACAGAGAATGGCGAGTGTGGAGAGAGCAGTTTGACAGCAGTTATTGTGACAGCTCTATGTGCCCTCAATAAACGTAACATACAAATGGAGGCAGCTGCAACAGGTAAACTTTATCCTGTTTATGCTTTAAGTAGCTAAACCTTGTTAATAATGTATTTTTAAATTTAGCATTCTTATGCATGAAATAGAAAAGAATTCCTATGATTGTGTCAAACCACATCTTGAGTTACCACAACCACAATAATTCCCAGCATGTCTAAGGGAAAAGTTGATGATGAGTGGTTTTTAACCAACCAAAGCAGTTTTATAATTTTTGCTGTTTTCTCATATTCATACATATATTTTATGGTACAGGTGTAGGAGATAGGTTGATGGATTTAACATCTCGGGATGGTGACTGGTTCCTAGAAGAACTTTGTAGTATGAGTGGCAATGTCTCACAGTTTCTAGATATGATCAAATCCAGCCAGCAGGTGAGCTTATTTCTTCTGTATTTTTTTATGGCATAAATTCTATTAATGAGTAAATAAAGATTATATTTCTTACATTATCTACTGTATGGTTGGTTCATTTCCATAGGATCTGTTATCTTTTATTTTTATACCCCCGCACAACAAAGTTGTAAGGGGGGTATACTGGAATCAGCTTGTCCGTCCGGCCGTCCGGCCATCCGGCCGTCCGTCGGTTTTTTCTTGTCCGCCCAATAACTTAAGATATCATTGACCCTTAGTCTTCATATTTGGCATGGAGGTTAGTCATGATTAGTAGATGACCCCTATTGATTTTGAGGTCACTAGGTCAAAGGTCAAGGTCACAGGGGCCTTGACTTCAAAAACCTTGTCCGCCCAATAACTTAAGATTCCTTTGACCTACAGTCTTCATATTTGGCATGGAGGTTAGTCATGATTAGTAGATGACCCCTATTGATTTTGAGGTCACCAGGTTTAAGGTCAAGGTCACAGGGGCCTTGACTTCAAAAAGCTTGTCCGCCAATAACTTAAGATTCCTTTGACCTACAGTCGTCATATTTGGCATGAAGGTTAGTCATGATTAGTAGATGACCCCTATTGATTTTGAGGTCACCAGGTCAAAGGTCAAGGTCACAGGGGCCTTGACTTCAAAAAGCTTGTCCGCCCAATAACTTAAGATTCCTATGACCAAAGTTTCATATTTGGCATGGAGGTTAGTCATGATTAGTAGATGACCCCTATTGATTTTGAGGTCACTAGGTCAAAGGTCAAGGTCACAGGGGCATGACTTTAAAAAGCTTGTCCGCCCAATAACTTAAGATTCCTTTGACCCATAGTCTTCATATTTGCATGGAGGTTAGTCATGATTTGTTGATGACCCCTATTGATTTTGAGGTCATCAGGTCAAAGGTCAAGGTCGCAGGGGCCTTGACTTCAAAAAGCTTGTCCGCCCAATAACTTAAGATTCCTTTGACCCATAGTCTTCATATTTGGCATTGAGGTTAGACATGATTAGTAGATGACCCCTATTGACTTTGAGGTCACCAGGTCAAAGGTCAAGGTCACAGGGGCCTTGACTTCAAAAAGCTTGTCCGCCCTATAACTTAAGATTCCTTTTGACCCACAGTCTTCATATTTGGCATGGAGGTTAGTCATGATTAGTAGATGACCCCTATTGATTTTGAGGTCACTAGGTCAAAGGTCAAGGTCACAGGGGCCTTGACTTCAAAAACCTTGTCCGCCAATAACTTAAGATTCCTTTGACCTACAGTCTTCATATTTGCATGGAGGTTAGTCATGATTAGTAGATGACCCCTATTGATTTTGAGGTCACCAGGTTTAAGGTCAAGGTCACAGGGGCCTTGACTTCAAAAAGCTTGTCCGCCCAATAACTTAAGATTCCTTTGACTACAGTCGTCATATTTGGCATGAAGGTTAGTCATGATTAGTAGATGACCCCTATTGATTTTGAGGTCACCAGGTCAAAGGTCAAGGTCACAGGGGCCTTGACTTCAAAAAGCTTGTCCGCCCAATAACTTAAGATTCCTATGACCCAAAGTCTTCATATTTGGCATGGAGGTTAGTCATGACTATAAGGTGACCCCTATTGACTTTGAGGTCACTGGGTCGAAGGTCAAGGTCACAGGGACCTTGACAAAAAAAGCTTTTCTTCTCAATTGCTAAAGAATGTCCTGTCCGCAATGTATTGATTTTGACATTTTCACATTTTAAGCTTGTAGAATACATAACTTAGCAATGCACTGGCTTAGTAACCTCAGATTTGGCAGGGAGGTTGTCCTTGAGCGCTAAATGGCCACTGTTGATTCTGACAAAGTGTTATGCGGGGGTATTCACGCCAAGATAGTGGCAGTTCTAGTTAGCTTTGCTTTCAGTAATTTTTAGATGTTTCCCTATTTCAGAAAAAAAACTCATTCATTCTTACCTTTCTTATCTTGCTATGTAAGTATTATTTAATATACTTGTTTAGAGGAGCATAATTTAGTAGTAAAGCAATATATTACAGGTTGGTGAAGACAGTGAACAATTTTTTGTCTTATACAAGGGAATGATGTCTACACACAATGTATATACAGCACTTCAGGTGAGCTTATGTGGTTTTACTTTGTCAATGCTGTATGTACATGTACCATGTCTTTTCAAATTGATTGATTGATTGATTGATTGATTATGTGTCAATGCTGTATGTAATTTCAAATTGAATCTGGCTTCTTTGGTCAAGTGATCAAGGTTGCTGGCTCCAAAGAATTTACCCATAATTATCCTGCAAGCTATCAAGGTAACTTTAAGGAGGTTAGTGTTTCCACTCACTTGTCAGTTTGTGTCTGAAACAATACACAGGGAGGAGGAATCTTTCTCCATCAGCTTATGACCTTAAAATGTAAGAGTGGCTAGAAACTTGACAAAATAAATCACATTTTTGTGCCCCCACGATAGTGGCGGGCATTTAGATTTACCCTTGTCCGTCCGTCCGTCTGTCCGTCCGTCCGTCCTTCCGTCCGTCCTTCCGTCCGTCCGTCCGTTCACTTTTGTGTCGCACGTAACTCAAAAAGTATTTGACTTAGAGTCATGAAACTTTACAGGAATGTTGATCAGCATGTGTTGTTGTGCACCTGGGTATTTTCGTCTGGATATTTTTAGTATTTTCAGAGTTATTGCCCTTGACTTAGTAAAATTTTGCATTTTTCAACTTGTGTCGCATGTAACTCAAAAAGTATTTGACCTAGAGTCATGAAACTTTACAGGAATGTTGATCAGCATGTGTAGTTGTGCACCTGGGTATTTTCGTCTGGATATTTTTAGTATTTTCAGAGTTATTGCCCTTGACTTAGTAAAATTTTGCAATTTTCAACTTGTGTCGCACATAACTCAAAAAGTATTTGACCTAGAGTCATGAAACTTTACATGAATGTTGATCAGCATGTGTAGTTGTGCACCTGGGTATTTTCGTTTGGATTTTTTTAGTATTTTCAGAGTTATTGCCCTTGACTTAGTAAAATTTTGCAATTTTCAACTTGTGTCGCATGTAACTCAAAAAGTATTTAACCTAGAGTCATGAAACTTTACAGGAATGTTGATCAGCATGTGTAGTTGTGCACCTGGGTATTTTCATGTGGATATTTTTAGTATTTTCAGAGTTATTGCCCTTGACTTAGTAAAATTTTGCAATTTTCAACTTGTGTCGCACGTAACTCAAAAAGTATTTGACCTAGTGTCATGAAACTTTACAGGAATGTTAATCAGCATGTGTAGTTGTGCACCTGGGTATTTTCTTCTGGATATTTTTAGTATTTTCAGAGTTATTGCCCTTGACTTACTAAAATTTTGCAATTTTCAAATTGTGTCGCATGTAACTCAAAAAGTATTTGACCTAGAGTCATGTAACTTTATAGGAATATTGATCAGCATGTGCAGTTGTGCACCAGGTATTTTTGTCTGGATTTATTTAGTATTTTTAGAGTTATTGCCCTTGACTTAGAAATTTTTTGCAATTTTCAACTTGTGTCGCATGCTACTCAAAAAGGATTTGACATAGTCATTAAACCTAATGGGCAGGTTGCTCAGCATATTTAGATTTGCACCTGGGGTTTCGCTTGTGGATTTATCCAGTATTTGTAGAGTTATTTCCCTTGACTTAGTAAAAAGATTGACTGAACAGTGGCGCGGTGGGGGCACCCGTGTCCTATGGACACATTTCTAGTTTTCCAATTTGTTTACAGGTTAAGTGTGTAATTTTTAAAAGTATCAGTTACATGTAGTTAAACTGAGACATTATGTCAATATTTAACTCCATAAGTATTTAAGATATGTCTTTACTTCACAACTTCCTTCTCAGTTCACTTTTATCTGTATAAATTTTAAGCCATGTTTACTATCATCCACCTTATGCTTCAAGAAACACATCTCATTTTGTAAGTGAATTGCTGTAAAGGAAAAGTACAAACTGTCTTGAACCTGATTTTAAGTGGACATGCAATAACTTCACAGAGAATATATTTTTGTGAATTTTTT